TTGAGTGATTTCCCTCCAGATCCAATGCAACACAATTAGTTGACGGCTGGATTTTGCCTTCGTGTTGCTCTTTGACCCTCCATCTCACTTACGAGTCAGTGCAGCACTCTGCCGATATGAGTTCCTCCTAACAGCTCCTGTATTTGCAAAGCCCATCTTCTTTTGGCCTCTCAACACCTTCCGTCCCAGCATTGCTAAAGAGGATCACGGCTTGCTGGCAAGCAGCCAAGTTGTTGTACAGTACCTGCAGAGGTGGAATATAGCCTTGGCCATCTACACTGGGGTTAGCACTGGTGAAAGTCTCCATCTCTTGCCAAGTACTGTTGGTGCCGGAACTTTCTCTCAGACTGCCAGCCTCAGCAGTGGCCATTGCCGCAAGGCCTTTCTGACCTCTTTGGCTCCTGATGCTGACTGTAAAAACAAAAACTCCACTCCAAAAGTGATCTCCTTAAGTAAGGGTTTCCAATCCAATTTTATACAAAGAGAGTGCTTAAGATTAGAGATAGTGTTTTCTTTTATTGCTCTTCAGTAATAGGAGTAGAAGGGGTGAAAGGAGAGTTGGAGGGAAGGAGGGAAAGTGGAATGGAAAGGATGGGAGATCAATAAAGGCTGCTCACTCTGGTTGCCTTTATTCGTTGTCGCCGTGCCACAAAGGGACCCGCACTTTGCCCATAAACGCTCCTGCACGTAGAGAAACACCCGCTGCACTCCCAATATAACAACAACTCATCGCACTTTTTCACAGCTATAATGAACAGCAGTGTCTTTTAGGGGAATGAGATGTGCTGTGTACCTGGCTGGTTTGTCCTAGCGGGCCATGGATTATTTTAACAACAGCGAGTTGGCCCCAGTGGAAAAAGGGCACGTGGTTGCACTGGGACAAGCACAACTTCCCTTGATTTGCATGGAGCTTTTTTCTTTTCCCAGTTCATTTCCAGTTGAAGAACACGGTTTTTGCATACATCAGAGAAAGACGAAGATCATACTCGAGAGTCACTGTTACTTTGTGTTTCACTAATGAGGCCTGTACTGTCCGCCTCCTTACTTTTGCCTTGCTGCCCTCTGAAACAGCAGTGGCGTGGTGCTACAACACATTAGTAGTTTTCTCTCTCTGATCCCAAGCTCCAGGCTGTTATCTTGTTTGTGTGTCACTTGGCTCTGTTTCAGTCCTTTGCACTTGTTTAAAGCTCGCATACTGTAGCAACAGACCTGACACGGATACATCGGGCTGTGTGCCCTCTGAGTGTAACAATTCAGATTCTGACCCGAGGGCAGAGGGACACTCGAAGCCAGATGATAATTTAACAAGTTTACTAGAACATGTTATGACTGATTCAGAACTGCAGTATTAAGAAGAAACTAAACAATGAACAGTGTTGGTAGTGAAGAAAGTAAACTAAATCATAGATTTCTCTGCACTAAGAAACTGTCAAATAAATAGTCAATGATACAGCAAACAAGAAACCAAAAGCACAGCTCTCCTGCAGCTTGCTCAGCACATATAGCACCAGAATAAGGAACTCACAAAAGACACGTAACAATGTCACAAAATATTGTTGCTTTTTATCTTTAGCTTTTACTTTTATTTTAGCATACATATCATGCTTTGCTCTATTGATCAACTAATATTGTAGGTTCATTTGAGAACACACCTGTGATTTTTCTTCTTGCCTCTCTCCTCTATCCACTCACCCCAACCAGTCGAGGCAGAAGGCTGCCCACCAAGAGCCAGGCCCGGTCGGATCTTTCTTTTGTTAAAGGAAGTTTTCCCTCCCCACTGTTACCAAGTGCTTACTCAAGGAGGATTTGTTGGGTTTTCCTTACAATAGTCTACAGTCTAGACCTGATTTTGTAAAGTGCCCTGAGACAAATGCTGTTGTGAACTGGCTCTATACAAATAAACTGAATTGAATTGAAATGCACATTCCAATGATCAGAAACCCAAAGTAGCAACATAGTGGTGGGGGCTACCGCCAACGGGAGGATTGCATATGATCCAGCAAGTCCAATGTGAATATGAGTATAAATGCTTATCAGACACCCAAGTACTGAACAGCTGTGTATAATACTGCTGTTTGAGGCAGAATTTTACTCTGAATATTACTGCGCACAAGTTGAGACATGTTCAGCCTTTTTGCCGCACGACTGTGTTGTTTTGCTGCAGTGAGACCCCTACTGTACCAACATAGGGTCTCACTGAAGTGAGTCTACGTTCAAGTTGGGATTATTGCACCAATTTTCCACCATGCCATTTTGTATAAAAGGTACCAAGCTGGCAGTGGGGGTGAGGGGTTAGCACTAGCACTGACCCTCCTTCATTCCGCCAGGGGAGGTAGTAAACTTGGCGGCTTTGGGGGTTGTGGGCAGAGGTGTGTGAAGTTTTGATGAAGAGTTGTTTCTGCAATGCACCGACCGGGGATTTAAATTTTTATGTTGCTCACAAGAAACATAATCCATGACCATAATCGTTAACTTGTTGTGCATTATGCACAACTTGGAGTCCGATTCCTGTCGTAAATGTGCAGGATGAGCAAAAGCACATCCCTATATTGTTCACCTGCCACTGTTGCTTTGAAAGCAGCAACGTTACCTGCATGTATTGTATTTCAACATGTGTTATACACATGGTTAAATGTCATGCTGGATGTCACATTAAACACCATGCCTCTTATACAAGGATGTCAGCATCCATGTAAAAAAGAACACGGCAGTGGCATTATGTCAGCATTTTTTAGTTCAGTGTAAATAGGCAAAGCTGCAATAAACGGGCCATTTCTCTAACCTGGAATAAGAGTTGAATTCTGAAACTAGAATTTGATGTTTATATAATTATGTTTCCCCTATCAGAGTATAATGTAAATACACTCAGTAACTCCTTGGCAAATTCTTAAAAACACCGATCTGGACCTTGGGCAGCAGGAGATCAACACTGATCTCCTTGATGACATGAACAGTGTTTGACGTACACTCAGACACAGCACATTGTTGTTTCCAGGCTGCTGAGCTTTCCTTCTCTGCTGGACTGTTGAGTACTGATGTGTTGATGGTTTGCACAAGCTTGTTAAAAGGAGGACACAGGATGCGGTAGTACTTTCAGCTGTCATACCAGGAGGTAGCGTCTTTTTTTAGGTAACCAACCCCATTCTCCTTTTAAAATGGGTGCTTAGAAGTTGAAAATTGCCAACATCAAGAGCTTCCTTGAATTAGGATGCCCCGCAATGCAAGTGTGTTATTTAATGCCATGACTGGAGGGAGAGAAAAAGTAGAGCACAGGGGTAGAGATTAAAAAAGTTTCTGCATATAAAGAGAGGGGGCAGGAAGAGATGAGCATGAAAGGGAAAGGGGAGGAGGGATTGAGGGAGAGACAGAGGAGATAGAAATACAGTATAATAAAAAAGAGAAGGGGGATTAGGTCAGGTGGGAGTGAAGGTCCACTCCTACCGCAGTAGCAGCCTGGAGGCCTGTCGGGCCGCAGGAGGTTGGTCAATCCTTCTCCTCTCTCAAGACTTCTCTCTATTTTCATTTAGATAATGGAGCATTTCCTTAATTGGCAGAGCACAGTTTAGGCCAGGGTTTGTTTGCCAACACGTCAGGGTAGAATTATTTCCACTACATTTACAGCATAGTGTTACTCAGCTCTCTCATTAAAACCACAGCCTCCTTCTGCCCAGATGGAATTTTCTGTGGAACGCTGCAGAAGGAGGCCAAACTCCACAGCAGCAGGAAAAGAATAAAACACATTTATCTCTTATCTCACCATCCCCAGCCAGCTTGTAAAGGAAGAGACAAAAATGTCTCTGTTTACTGTTATTGTTTTTCTCCAATCATAAACCCTTACTTCTAGCTGCTATTGTGTGCTTTTTTCCCTCCTCTTCTCTTATCGAAAGAGTTATGTGTTGGGCTCGCGTGATTTGTATCTTTAAATTTGGTTGAGGGTATTTGCAGGGGGTGTTATTGGATTTCGGTGTTATTGTCTCACCTTTTCCCTCTGTGTTTTTAATGTTGGGATGGATATCCGCTCCAGCAGCACTGATCTCACAGTTCTGCTCATTAGTTTGGATTTGCAGAGCCCAGTGCTTCGCAACAATAAGACATGCACTTCTGTAGTCCAGCCATTACCGAGTTTAACAATGTGCACCAGCCAGAAAAGTCCATTATTTCTCCAGCTCATCATCTCAAGCATCCACACGAGACAAAGGGTCTGTGAAACTGCTTCATTGCAAAGGGCCATCTATCACTTAAGTCAGGAACAGAGACTAAAAAACATACGTGGTGTCGATACCACATACTGTGTGTTCTGGAAGAATGTGGAAGAATGAGAATGAGCGCTGACTGAAATCTGATTCCAGTGAGAATTTAAAGCTGTCGGGTACCAAAAGGCAGCATCACATGCCTGGTAAACTCTTAGCCTTTCCTGATTTTAATAAGACTCTTGCTACTTTTAGATTGTATTCCACCAAGGTTCTTGTATGGCTGCTTTAAATGACACCTCGGTGCATTTGAGATTTCAAAGTGATATCAAAAGAACACCTGTACTGAAAAACGAAACAAGACACAGGTTGGTGTTAAAAGTGAGAGAGCTTGGAGAGGAAGCAGCTGCTAGTTCAACAGACCTGTCATTGAAATCAAAGGCCCCAATCAAAATTTTATCAATTAATTGATCTTTCCTCTTGTGCTTTGCCATAAGTGCAATTGAGATTTTCCCTGACTCTTGCCCCTCCAACTAGCGAGCCATGCTCTACAACATAAACTGTGTTCATTAGCAGTGATCAAAGAATTCTCTAATGTGAGCTGAGATGTGATGTGATTGCTGTCCCCCTCACCCACCCCCCACCCCCCAACTTAGTTGGCTTGCTGGACAACCCTCCCCCTGTTGCCTTCTAGATTGCACTGGGGATCTCACACGTCTTCCGTGCTGGTTGTACAGCTCAAACACTGTACTGTAACTTTTCTTTCAACTGCAGTTCTAACACTTGCCTCCTGTTGTGTGTTCCTCTCAGGGTAACCAAGAGGCCACTAACCCCCCAGAAGCGATGGCCCAGCCGTACACCCCAGCCCAGTATCCGCCTCCCCCACAGAATGGCATACCCGCAGAGTTCGCGGCACCGCACCCGCTTACAACACAGGACTACACCGGGCAGAGCCGAGTCCCTGAGCACACTATGACCCTCTACACGACCACACAGACGCACAGCGAACCGGTTGGCACAGACAACAACACGCCTGTCATCACCACCACCACGACGGCACCGGTCAGTGTCCTCCATCATCTGCAAACGCTGACCTCAACACACTGTCAGCAAGTAATATATATTCATTATATCAGTTTTTCCCTTTTTTTGTTCACATTACACATCTTTTTTGTTTTTTAGAAGACAGCTTATCAGCACGGTGATGCAGTGGTTAGCACCGTTGCCTCACAGCAAGAAGGCTCTGGGTTCGGGCCCCACCCAGGACATTGCTGTGTGGAGTTTGCATGTTCTCCCTGTGCTTGCGTGGGTTCTCTCTGGGTACTCCGGCTTCCTCCCGCAGTCCAAAGACATGCAGCTTAGGTTGATTGGTGTCTCTAAATTGCCCATAGGAGTGCGTGTGTGGTTGTTCGTCTATGTGTTAGCCCTGCGATGGATTGGCGACCTGTCCAGGGTGTACCCTGCCTTTGCCCTATTGCTGGCCGGGATTGGCTCCCCCCCCTTGTGACCCCGTTGAGGGATTAAGAGGTAGAAAATGAATGAAAGCTTATCTTTTATTTTTTACAGCAGTCTAAAAGTGCCATTTCTTGATTCTTGACATTTTACTAGTAACAAAAGAGACCAAATTTGCCGTTTTCCTCTCACTGAGGAATGTGTGTTTTCTTTCTAATATGTTCACTCTTTTCATCATCTGCCATTGTCTAAAACCTGAAGGCTTTGGTGCTGGAAGACGTCTGCCCACTTCCTGTTTTTTGCCGTAAAGCAATCTCTCTAATCTTAGAGGTTAAACACCTCTATATGGTATATACCTCAATTGATTGGTACTTCTGTAGGACTAGTGAGTTCATTTAAGCCCCGGCCCTGGAGCCATGCCCCAGTCATTTTCCATGCTATCTTTCCTTTTTTCAATTTGGATGTTTTTTGCATCGCACGCACAGAAATGACCTTTCTTAGTTTGAGAGTGAGAGTCAGCAGACTTTGATGTCATGGTAATGATTTGTGCTTGACGATGGAGGTGAATTTGGTTGAAAATTTGCTCATAAAATAAAAGTGTGTTTCTGAAGAGTCATTTGGGGGCTGCCTGAAAACTTGGAAGCCTGAGCTGTTTTATTTATTTGCATGAAGCACATTTTTTATGCTGTGGACATGAATGATTCAGGGTCTCTGAAAGCAGGACACACCCGCCCCCCTGATCTTTTTGGTCTCGGTTAAAGGAAGAAAAAAGAGAGAGACTTTCCTCAACAAGCCATGATGGGTTGTTGTTTTGTAAAATCAGCTAATTATCCGTAACTGCATCCAAATGTTTGAGACTCTCCTTTAAACATGAGACATTATCCTCTGTGCAACTCTACCATTCTGTGTACTCTACCATTTCCTCCTCACCATAAGAGTTAAAGTGTTGGCACTCCAAGGGAACAAACCTCTGCACATTGAGATAAACAGCTCGGATGTGAGTGAATTTTTAAATCATATATTATATATTTCATTCTTGTATACTGATATCTTGTATGAAATGTACTGACCTGGGATTTACCTTCACAAGAGGCAGATGTAGATAAAAGGGAGGACGACTTAGCTGCAAACTTTGGAGACACATCTAAAAAGATGCCGGCAGCGATGGAAAAATCACACCTTCAGACCTCCTTTTCTCCTTTATCATGAGAATCCCTGCTGGGAGAGGTCACTGCTAAGCCACAGCCCCCCTGACGGAGATCTGGGTCACTCATAAACAACACTGTTAATAACTCCATTTCCCAGCCTCACAATTACTGAACAGGCTGCGAATATTTGGTGGCACAAAAGTGCCTATACAGCACAAGCAGAGCGAGACGTTGCGTAGTGTCGTAATGTAGTAATGTTTGATTTGAAGATTTGTGTGATGCTCTCCAACTGCTCCGTGATTACGTACTGCACTTACAGTAATGGCTGACACACAAGAGAGTTTAAAGTGAAGAGAGACTTGGCAGGAGGTTCAGCCTTCTCCTCCTCTTCCTTCTCCGACACTGTACACCGCTCCTCCACACACCGACGCTCACTGGCTCCCCTCTCTCTTCATTTCGCATTTGATTTCATTTCATCTGCTCACCCGCTGTGAAGAAGGCCCAGAGATGGTGGCCATGGAGAGATGAGAGCTCGCCTTGCTGTTCCTTCATGCTCTTCCCCTCTTGTGCCGTCCCTGCTTTCCTCCATCTTTATTCTTTGCATCCGCACTCTTCCCACTTCCACCCGTCTTTTCTCAGGGAGGACAGAGGGATGAAATTAGTGGGGCATAAACAGATATTCTAATCCTCAGGGGCTGCTGGTATAGTGTCGCCCACTGCTGTGTTCCCCAGCTTTAATGACAGACCCAGCCTGTTTGCTCTGGGTGCCACAGACGGGCCCGGGTGCTTTTGATTAGGGCACCCTGCAGAAACACAGATTGAAGGAGCAGATCAGCTACTTGCTGCAATTCTCCCCCCTTCCCCTCCTCCCTCGACTCGACTCTGCTACGCTCAGCTCCTCTACCCCACGATGACGCTTTAGTCTGCACATCTTCTCGACTTAAAGACTTAAAAAGAGTCAAGAGAGAGTAGAAATTCAGTGAAATGTATGGATTTTGTGTGAACTCCCCGCAGAGAACGGAGAGTGTGTATGTTTTAATGAGGCGCAGGGACTCTCTTCACTTTTTCTCTGTTTCTGTCTGTGTCTACCAGTCCCCCATCTATACTGGGAAGGTGGCGTTGTCCAGAGCCAGACCTCCGGGACCTTGCTCTGTGCCATGTTCAAACAAGCTGACATGAAAGCAGGCAACTTGAGGAAGAGAGGCAGCCCCCAACTTTTCTCCAAATCCTTGGAGAGGAGGGTAGCAGAGGGCTGCCAGGGAGCTGGAGGAAAGAAAAAAAAACTGAGCTCGTTATCTGGCTCAGTTCAAATAGTCTGAGGTTTGGTTGAATTTCATGAGTAATCATTCTCTTCTCAGATAACAAATTAAGGCAGTGGTGTTAGGGCAGCACTCAATTCCAGATTTTTCACAGCCCATGTCAGCAGCATGAAGGCTTTCCAAAGGGTATTCTGGGCAACTGTGATAACATAGACACACACACACACACACTCACAAACACACAATGGCATGAAGAAAACATGGGCAAGCACATGCAGATATTCATGGATACATGCAAACGTACTTTCTCATCAATCATGAGCTTGTGTTTAAAGGAACTGAGACTCTAGAAGGGTGCAGCCTTCTGAGGCGTGCTGAGGGCAGCATGTTTGTTATATCTTGAGGTGAATCCCAATTCCATTAATTGCATCCACACTGTGTCTTAGTCCCACCTACATAAGATGCAAGGAAAAGATGCAAGGTGACACCGTGAGGAGAGAGGAACTGAGACAATATGTTTTAACTGGCGTGAGACATCCTTTCCTCCATTCCTTTATGTGAATTGTGTAATCACAAACTGAATTCTGATAAAGGGGCGTGTCAGTCTGTAACAAACTTCTATAAAGGATGCACTCGTGTATCCTCAGTTATAGCTCCTCCCAGGCAGCTTTCTCTCTCCTCAGAGGAGAAATAAGAGCTTTGGAACATCCTTCATCACGGCGGGCTGGAACGACTCCTGGGTTGAGTGAAGACTGAGGACTGAGGAACAATAAAATAAAGGAACTGGGATTTGCCTTTGTTATCTGACAGTGGGAGGAGCCGCTGATTCTACCCCTGTGTAAATTCCCATTTCTGAGATTTTATAGATGTTTTCAGTGTTCCCCAGCATAAAAACTCTACTGGATAATTTAAAGGACAACACTGGTGTCTGTCTACATTTTTCGTACTGTCAACAAATCCTACAGAAAGACCCAAAACAACAATGCGCTAGTTTGTATCTCAAAACTTTCTGACCTCCCTCTCAGTGGCTCTCGGCTTTAAGCACATTTAAAAACATTCCTAACACAAGTAATAAATTGTTCATTTTCTTTAAAGAGCACAGTAATTTCCCAAAACAGCTGGACACTGTGGTGTTTATCAGGAGGAACTAGTGCATTTCTTGGGAAGTATTTTCAGTTGTCAAATAATTCACATATGGTGGCTCTAGTGAGGTTGAATATTTTCACGGTTTAGCGTGGAGGATAGCTGTAAATACTACAGCACCCATGACCCTAAGCTACCACTGCAAGAGCTTGCCATTAGTTAATGTAGCTAATGTATGCTGTATTTACAGTTGGGACCAAAGCACTGCACCATAGCTGCTGAATTCATGCAAAGGTGAACCAGAATCTGACATTTAAGATCAATGATGCTTCTTGAAATGCACCTTGAGAGTTGTAGCTAACATCACTACTTCAGTTTTAGCTTTGGCTTGAGAGTTTCATGTCCATCCAGACATTACAAGTGTTCCAACTGCCACTCACCTAATGTTGCTTATGTAGAAAGGGAGTGTGACTTTTACTGTCTCCTGAGCGCACAAAATAACTCCTCTGCCTTTCACTACTTTATATGAATCAGGGGAGGAGGTGGGGGCGCCCCCTCCACTCCACACTCGCTCTCTGCACACTTCCTGCTGTCTCAGGTGATGGAGGGGATATATTTGCTGCTTCTTTAGAAAAAGAAAACAAACAGTAGCGGGACAGGAAAATAATGAATTAAAGCTCAGGCATTATAATTCTTGTGTGCGAAGACTCAGTAGCCCCCATTTAATCGGATGTAATCTACCTGCTTGGCAGCAGTCCAATCAGATAGTTTCAATTATGCTCTTGTAATGCCACTCTGCGAGGAGGAGCAAAGTGCTGAGCAGAGCACTTTGCAGGCTATTTGCAAATAACAGCAAGGTATTCTTTCAGAGAAATGACTGAACAGGAAGGCAGAGCGTTGCCTGAGTTGACAGCTCTCTCACTCTCTGGTTTGCTGGCTTTTGCGGTGACGGTGGGTTTTGCATCCCACCTCCTCCTCCTCCTCCCTGTGACAGCAGCTGTCGGGACAGTAAACTGCCACTGAAGGTGGCCTCCTATGGTAATACAGAGGTAATTATTTTCCACTGCAACACCACCATCTCACAGGCAGGCAGGCAGGTTGGAGCCTCGGGAGTGGCGCGCAGAGGCAGGCATCCCGGATCTCAGTGACACTCCAAGTTATTGAGTTAGTAAAATGCAGTCTGGGGTGCATGGGAGTCAGCAATTCAGTATTTGTGTTCTCTGTATGTGTATTTGCCCTCAATGTCAGCATGCTGCTGGTCTGTCTGAGCGCCGAGTGAAAGTTAATCTGGATGTTTGCAAACATGCGATTGCGCCCACCGTGATAAAAAGCCAGACAGCCAGAGTTGGAGAACTGCGGTGCTCAGTAGTCCGGTAACATACGCTAAAGGTCGACAGTGTCACGTGTGACCGATGAAACAGATTGACCCACGGGGCTTTGGTACCTTGTCACCCTCCACCGTCCCAGCATCTGTCTGCAGTGTGTCGCCCCCAGGGCCCAACATGGCTACTCAGGCTATTAACCTCCAGCACGGGAGGACACAGCAGAGTTAAGACCCCTCTGCCCCTCTCTCACTGTCACAAATCCACTGATTGCCGGCCGGCAAGCTCAGTGTACTCTCCAGCTCCTGTGTCCTTCGCCACTTGTTAATCTCTGGTCTGGAATTCGTCAAACCCGGGCGGGACTTAGGAAGCTGCCGCCAACTCCACCCTACCTGGATGGCTGCAGGAGAGACAACGCGACACCTTGAATCAAACAACTGTCACTGTTAACAATATATGTCACCGTCTCAGAATGGACCATAAAAGCCAAGTAAATGACGGCCATTAGAGTGGAGATTGTGATTATGATAATGAGAATAATAAAGGCGATTATCATTATGATCATGATGATAATGATAATACTGTGATGATGAATTATAATAAATAATCCGTACCCCATTTCCTAAATGGTGGGAAATGTATCACTAAGAGAGGCCTGCAGCCATCAGATAGCCTCAGAGCAGGGAGAGGGTTATCAGTGTGTGTGTCTGTCTGTGTCATTTGAACTGTTTGTACTCTGGCAACAACCTTCTCCCTTTTCACATCTGTATCTCAGTACAAGATTGTGTCTGCCAGTGTATAGTGTGTTTGCCATGCTCAGAGAGCACTTCCCAGGAGACCTCGCAGTTTACATATCGCATTCAAACAGCTTTTGTGCTCGATATCTGCCACTTCCACTCTCTCATATCCCATTCCCCACTCCTCTCTGCATTTCTTTATTTAGTCCCTTTCCAGAGTCACCGGCACTATATCAGCTTCAATTTTGTTCATTTTAATCAGAATGGAGACGTTCCTCACCGGAAATCACAGCAATGGCTGTTTGTTCAAAACACTTAAAACACACTTTGTTGATGTTGTCTTGATGAGTGACCTCTTGTGATCATGAGAGTAATCACTGTCTTTCATAGGGTCATAGTAGTGTGATGTGGTTTTAGGTTTTACAAGTCAGGCATGTGGGTTTGTGTCTGATTTTGGTACCTGTTTTTGTGGTTCACTTCCTGTTACCACCAGCAGTCAACATTGTTTCTCTCCAAAGTTCAAATATGTAGTGGTGGAAGTAGTACTCAGTGTTTACTTAAGTAAAAGTAGCAACTAGTAGTACCCTGCCTTTCACCTAGTGCCACCTGGGACTGGCTCCAGCCCCCGCCCCCATGATCCTCTTCAGGATAAGTGATATAGATAATGGATGGATGGATGTTTATTATTGAGGTCACAGTTAAAGGTAGTGTTGTGCTGGACTACGTTACAGAGGTGTCTCTGTGATTTTGTCCTCCCGAGCTGCACACACGAGAGGTTCAGAATATTAGGAACACCTCTGAATATACAGTAATGTAGTCCAAGACAGCACTACCTTTAACTATGACCTCAATAACAAACATATCATTGAATTTATACATTTAGAACAATTTCACCCAAAACTGAAACAGTTTGAGCTTCATAGACACAGATGTTAAGGAGAAAGGTCTCAGGTACAGTGGCACAATGAACCCAGTGCACCTATCTTGTTTGTTTACGGCATTAGATGTGTCGGGAGGCATATTTTAAAACTTTGGACAGAGCTAGACCAACTGTTTCCCCCTGCTTCCAGTCTTATTGTTAAGCTGGGCTAATTGCCTCCTGGCCTTGTCTCTATAATAATGATATTCTTGTATGAGAATGTTATTGATTTTATGATTCACCTCTCTGAAAGAAAGTGTCGAACTGTTCGTTTAACAAAATAGTTTTAGTTGATTAATCAGATCTTTACCATAGATATGGCAGTTCAGTAACACTTGAGTAACAGTCTGATTTGTTTGAAATGCACAAAAGGGAAAGTAAAAGGACCTTTGCAGAGACAGGCTTATCCCATACCGGTGCATTATAGAGATGATAAACTATGCTGCTGGCCAATGAGGTTTTGTCCACAGAAAATACATCAGAAAAAGGAACTTCCTCAAAAACAAGGTCCATAGAAACAGACAAGCCGCCAGCACCCTCAGTGAAATTCATCACCCGTGTCAGAGAGAGAAATGTGGAATTTGTCACTGACATCAGACACATCATTTATACAGAAATGTCAGCAGAGCATTCGCATAATGATGGAAACAACAACGCTGAGGGCTTCGGGCCTCGCACTCTGATGCCTGTGTGCAAACGTCACCAATAATGTGTCTTTAGTCTAGACATGTCAGGGCTCTGTGGGATCTATATCCATGCCTTTTTGTCAGTGCCTTCAATCTTCCCTGTTGCTCAAGAGCTAAGTGCAAGAGATTAATAAGTGGATTTGTAATGCACAACCTCAGATTTGACACTATAAGTCATCGGCTGTTTATCGCTTTGGCTTTCTTGTCGAATTGAAAAATGGCAGACGCTGAGTAAGTTAGTCAGCCAGGCCTTCCACCTCCACCCTGCACCTCACCACCCTCTTTTTTGCAACCCCTCTGCTCCCCCCTCCCTGTACTTCAGGACCGGGAGGAACCATATACTGTAGCAGCTAATGAGCAGCTTGTGTCTTTTCTCTGTTTGTTTCCCTCTGGCAGACAGATGATGTGACGCAAACAGAGGGCTCTCAGCAGCTCCAGCTCCAGCACTCAGACTCTTCAGAGAAGCAGCAGCCCAAAAGGTTACATGTCTCCAACATTCCCTTCCGTTTCCGGGACCCTGACCTAAGGCAAATGTTTGGGGTGAGTACCTTGAAGGAAAATTCCAGTTTATTACAATCTGGGTCTTCTTTTTCTATTTTTTGGCCTTTATTTGTTGGTTATGATTACAGTGTACTTGTCAAGGTGACCAGACAGGTTGTAAACAAACAACAGTTAACCGATGAGCTAAAGATGATGTAAACCACTTCATTTAGAGAGACTAAAACTAAAATTTAACACACCCCAAAATGTATAAGCACCCACTTCACCTGAAACAAAGAATGCTTCCACAAATGTCAGAAGAAAGTATTAAACTTTAAGAAATAGAATTTTTGGCTTATTAAGTTCCAGGGAAAAATGAGCATTTAAACTTAATCACACAACAGAGGCCATGTGTTTAAATCAGTGTGGCCAGCACTTAAACTGTCACCTAGTAACTACATTGGCAACTACAGTGTAAGGGAAAAGAATTGCCTTCTGAGTTTTTACAAGTCGGAGAAAGTGGAGAAAATCAGCCGAATCAGTCACAATCAAGCGATGATGTGTGGGAAAGAAACTCCAGGCTGGAGTTAGAAGAACAGTAATAACTTCACCGTTCAGCTTTGTTTGCTCTCCCAAAGACGCTCTAGCTTGTCCTGTCAGGCTTCTTTTTAGCAACGTTGCTGTAACCCCAGATCTCAGCGATTAATTTGGCAAACACCGTGTTAATACAATAGCAATGATAGTCACAAGCAGTAAACACATCAGTTTCCCAGGATAGCTTTCTTCTCAACAAAAAAAGTTTGTCAAGTAGCTTTTAGACTTTTAGAAGATTTAATTGTTTGCTGAAATCAGCACTGTGGAAATTATTTTTCCTGAATACCCATTTAGAGGCTAAACATACAGAGTGGTCATCTTCAGACAAATGCAATCTCATTACGTAACAACATTCCAGAGATCTTCAACAGAAATTCTCTCTTCTCTCTTGCCCAATTAATGAGACAATGAATAGTTCAACAGCTCACTATTGTGTCTCATAAAAGCCTCAAGAACTGAACCAAACATCTCCAATTCAATAACGATAATGGATCTGAAAGGAGACAACTGCCAAAAATGTACTTTAAATGTTATGTGCTAATTGGACCATTAGAACCAAGGGGTGTTAATTCTCGTCGTTATGAAGACAACATCCAGCTGATGATATTAATTACTTGAGAGCCCTGGCTGTGGCTTTATGAATTGCAGACAACATGGCTGCTCTCTCTCTCTTTCTCTGTCTGATTGTTGGCTTTATTGTTCCCAGCTCTGAAGCAGGGCGTGTGGAATCCAAATCGTCTCAGTAATTAGCTCGGAGGCTTTGTGTGCCTGCCCGGCGCATGCAGATATACGATACAAAATTGATCGCTGCCCACCCAGTCCCCCTCAATC